TACACAATGTATGCAGCACGCTCCCCAGTGGAGCCTAACATGCCCCCCAGGGTCTGGTATACTTGGAAGAACTTGGGTCTGCCCGGTCCCTGCACACACAGGCCCGCTGGGAGGTTGGGGGGCGGGGGGCTCAGGCATCAGGGTTCACTGCGAAATCCTGTGATCAGAGTACAGAAGCCCAGCCTGACCCTTCACCACGACCCCTGCTCAGCTCCATACCAAGTCCATCCAGGGACAAGGCCACCCTGAGCCTCTGGGGCCCCTTGGTGCTGGTGGATGACATGTCTGCACATGCCTTCACCCAGGACATGCTCACGGAGTTCAAGTGACACATTAGGCCATATAAAGTGCTGCAGGCAGTGCAGGAGCAATGTGGACATCTTTGCCCAGAGCAGAGGTTCCAGGCACAGGGCACGGCCTCGTGGGTGAATGGGCTGGACACTGGCCCCTGCCTTGGTGAGTGGGACACCACTGACAGGGGGCATGTGGCCCCTGAAGGCCCTCCCTCCCAGAGGGGCCCACATGGCTGCAAAGGCAAGAGACTGTCTTCACTCTGACCACCTGAGATGGAATACCTGCTTCCGGGCCTGGAAGCCCCCATCTCCTTCCAGGGCCACCATGAAGTCCCCTGGCCTGCCCCAGCTCTGGGTGCCTGGGCACCCAGGCAGAGCTCAGGGGAGCCCTGCTGGTTGAGGAGGCAGAGGTACCACCCTGGTCCCCTGCCAGCCAGCTGCTCACCAGATGAAGGCTGGGGGGCGGGATGTTGTTCAGCCCCGAAGGTGAATGCCCGGCTCAGTCACCTGCACCTGGAACCAGCCCCACAGACCAGTCACAGAAACAGCCGGGTGCCTTCTCAAGGGAAGCCAGGGCCTTGTCAGGGACAGAACTGTGTCCCCAAGTCCCACCGAAGCCCTAGCCCTGAACCTGTGGCCCAGCTTGGAAAAGGGGTCTCCTGTCAGGTGAGGGCTCCCAGGGGGCGTGAATGGCAAGTGCCCAATGACCAACTGGAAGGTGGAAGGCATCGGTCCACTCAGAGCACCTCGGAAGACAGGCCTGGCCATCTGCTTCTGAAAGGTCTTGGCCTTGAAACCCAGGAAGCAGTTCTTTGCACACGAGCAAATGGCCTGGGTGTTGGTTTTGTTACGTTGGTGACATCATACCCGGAGGGGCTCCTACATGAAATCCTTTCTGAGGCATCTCATAAAGAGAGCAGGCAAGTCACAGATGCAGAATGGGCGACAGCCGCCACAGGCGGGAACACCGGGGATGGCGGGTCGGAGGTGCAGAATGGGCGACAGCCGCCACGTGCGGGAACATGTGGATGGCGGCAGATACCAGAGGCAGGCGAGGCCACAGGCGGACTCGGCACCAGGACCTTCAGATTTTGAGTCTCCAGACGATAAACACTTGTCCCTTAAAGCCACCTGCTTGGACTGTATTCCATTAGGGCAGCCCTGGGAACTGCTGAGGAGCCTGGTGGCACAGAGTTCAGCTACCATCTGAGAGGTAGGGGTCTGAACCCACCAGCCCCTTGTCGGGAGAAAGATGGCGCAGTCTGCTCCCATAAAGATTACAACCTTGGAAACCCTCTGGGCAGTTCTGCTCTCCTATCGGGCTGCCGAGTTGGAATCATCTCGACGGCAGTGGGTCTAGTTGGGTCAGCTTGGGTAACTAAGATGGGCCTTTTAAACCATGCATGTGTGTGTTCATGGGTGACAGTGACTGTGGTGGTGGAAAACACCTAGCCCCAGAAGGACGTGCTCCTGGCCAAGGTCCCTGGGCAGAGGAAGAGAGCAACCTTGGAGTGTTCCAGCACTTCCTGGCTGTTCCTCCAGGCCCCTGCACCACCACATGTGCCCCAGTCCCAATACCATCCTTGGATCTTGGGCCACGTCTGCAGGTCCTGGCTGCCCTGGACACCTCCTCTCCCTCCACGTGTGTTCGGGGGAGCCTTCCAGCCCCCCCACCTTCGCTGACATCCGTCCCTTCTTCTCACAGTCCCCCTCACTCAGCAGCCCACAACTTCCCTTCCCCCGCATCCAAGCTGTGAAAAGTCAACCCAGAGCAGACTCCACATGGGCCTGCGTGGGGCAGCCGGTCAGAGCCCAAGGCAGATGTGACCACATGTGGACACACAGATCCCTCCCCAAGACTCACATGACGCACCAGGCCTGCCCGCAAGGGATCTCAGGGCAGGAGGGCCGCAGGCAGCTGAGGGGCTGTGATGGTGAAAGTTGTGTGTCAACATGGCTGGACCACGAAGCTCCAGTTTAGGAGTCATGATGGAGCCATCCCCATGACGAGATCTGATACAATGTAATCATCCCCATGACGAGATGTGATACAACGTAACCACCTCTGTGAGGAGCGCGGACACAACGTAACCACCTCTGTGAGGAGCGCGGACACAACGTAACCACCTCTGTGAGGAGCGCGGACACAACGTAACCACCTCTGTGAGGAGCGCCGACACAACGTAACCACCTCTGTGAGGAGCGC